GAAACGCTTAGAAAAAGTTGGTATTAGAGGAATTCCAAATGATCTAGTCAAATCGTATCTAACTAGAAGAAAGCAAAGTGTAAACAATGCAGGAGAGCAAAGTGATAAATTGGAAGTGGAGTTTGGTTTGCCGCAGGGTACTATGCTGTCAACACTATTATTTAACATATACAGAGTGAGTTTTATGTATGGAAACGCCCAATTATCTCAAAAACGGCTTGCTCGATTTTTATAAATTTTGGTATGTGAGGGTATTGTTATATGGCCGATATTATCGTGCCATTTACATGGTTGTCAGATCATTCGATTTTTGGCAACTATTAGGAACTTTGTTATTTCAAATGGATCACCCTGTATATTTTTCAGTTTTCGTAATCCCTGAATAATACTGAATATTTTTCATGAAATGTTTCCTATACCCAAATGCCTTAATTTAGGAATTATAGCTACATTTACATTAAAAACCGCAAAAGTTGAAATAATTCATTGGCTTGTCCCGCGTGATGAGAGCTCGTCGCGGGAGCGTCTCGTCATGTCTGTGCACACCTTAAGATCTCTATGACTACAAAAATAATAGCTTTCACGTTTCAGTAAATTATTATTTGTCAGTTTTCATTGAATGTGATAATGAATCGTTTATCTGAAAAAGAACGAATTGAGATTTTGATGATATTGGGATATGGTGATAGGCGTAGAAGTCAACAAGAAACGTGTGATATTTTCAATGATTTATATCCCAACCGCAATCCCATTACAAAATCAACTGTTAGTAAATTGCTTAAAAAGTTTACCCAAACTGCTGGAGTAAAAGATCTACCCAAATCAGGGCGCAGGAAGACTAAATCAACTGACAACAAATCTCTAGATGTTTGTGTCATGTTAGAAGACGATCCTCACTTGAGTACTAGGCAAATATCCAGGGAACTTGAAGTTTCTCAAACAACCGTGATGAGAATTCTGCATGGTAATAAATTCCATCCATACAAAGTGAGGTTGGTTCAGGAGTTGTCAGATGACGATTTTGATAGACGTGAGGAGTTTGCCGATACAATGATGAGAAAATGTTACGATCCAAACAATCCAAATTTTTTAAATAATGTTATGTTTAGCGATGAGGCCACTTTTCTTATCAATGGCAACGTAAATCGGCATAATTGTAGATACTGGTCTCGTAACAATCCTCATTGGATGCGTGAATCCCACACCCAATATCCCGAGAAACTGAATGTATGGGCTGGAATAATAGGCGACAGAATAATTGGACCGTTTTTTATTGAAGGAAACTTGAATGGTCCCGCGTATTTACGTTTATTGGAAGATAGTATTATACCTGAGTTGGCTCGGTTATTTCCAAATCCAAGTGAGTATTTTCAATTGCCTTTAAAATTAAAAAAAAAAATAATTTATTGAAACTTTCAGACAATAACAATATTCCCCAAAACAATATTTGGCTGCAACAAGATGGAGCTCCACCCCACTATGCCCGTGAGGTGAGACAATACCTAAATCGTTTGTTTCCCGGAAGATGGATTGGAAGGCGTGGATCTATCGAATGGTCTCCTCGATCACCCGACATGAATCCTCTAGACTATTTCCTATGGGGCCACTTGAAAAACACTGTTTATAAAACAAAACCTCTCAATATTGAGGAATTGAGAGATAGAATCACCAACGAGATAAGAAGAATAGAGCAGACAGGGATGTTGCAAAATGTATTGCAAAGTTTTAAAAATCGCATGGCTTGTTGTCTGGAAGTCAACGGACAACATTTTGAGCAGCTGCTGTAATGGGTTGGATAAATTTAGATTTTTCAACCCTCGTTGGGTTCATCAGATCACAATCCCAACTCCGCAACCTGTGAACTAGCTATCAAACCATGGTTCAATAAAAACTGCTCAACAGCGGGAAATTATAAAAATGCTGCTTATTGCAAATGGCATCGTAATCCGACAGCCTAAAATCTCAATACATTCTCACGACTAGAAACCACTGTAAGCAGACCAATGGCGAAGAAGAAGAAAAAAAGGCAAAAAAACAGTTCGGAGAAGTGATCAATTAATAGCTCCTGTCGAGTGCCAAGGCACCAGCACAAAAGCTAGGGGCGCTCTATAGAGCATCCCTCGAAAACTGTTGCTGACCTGGAGTTGACCAAATACCATTAATAGCCATAAACCTCGGGAAAAAGTGGTAGACCTATCACTATTCTATCGATATCATTACAGCAGGTGCTCGAATTAACTGACACTTGTGACTCTGCCCAGAGTTGTACCAAACAGATACACTCGTCAACACAAGCAGCTCATGAACATACAATTCAGCTGCGAACACCTAGGACGTCACTGTTCAGAAGTCAATTTGGTCTGGAGGGCTGCCTAGCTCTGGAATGAACTTCCAAAGGCATGAATACTTTTCTCGAAAACTATAACCTACAGCGCAATGTCCATCGACATCTCAGTGTACACGCCGCTCGTTGAGTGGTAAAGGATTTTCCGTTTGTGTGTGAGCCAACCATGAAAAAGTAATATTAAGATAGCTATTGTTTTCAGTTAATTTAGTTTTCCTGCGCCCAGATTTGGGTAAATCTTTCATTGCATCAGTTTGGGTAAACTTTTTTACCAGCTTACTCACAGTAGATTTTGTAATGGAATTTCGGTTGGGATATAAATTATCTTGTGGACTTCTACGCATACAACCATATCCTAATAAAATTAAATTAAATTAAAATCTTAATTCGTTTTTTTTTTTTCAGATGAACGATTCATTATGGTATTCAATGAAAACTGACAAATAATAATTTACTGAAACGTGAAAGCTATTATTTTTGTAGTCATAGAGATCTTAAGGTGTGCACAGACATGACGAGACGTTCCCGCGACGAGCTCTCATCACGCGGGACAAGCCAATGAATTATTTCAACTTTTGCGGTTTTTAATGTAAATGTAGCTATAATTCCTAAATTAAGGCATTTGGGTATAGGAAACATTTCATGAAAAATATTCAGTATTATTCAGGGATTACGAAAACTGAAAAATATACAGGGTGATCCATTTGAAATAACAAAGTTCCTAATAGTTGCCAAAAATCGAATGATCTGACAACCATGTAAATGGCACGATAATATCGGCCATATAACAATACCCTCACATACCAAAATTTATAAAAATCGAGCAAGCCGTTTTTGAGATAATTGGGCGTTTCCATACATAAAACTCACTCTGTATATAAATGATCTTATGTAATTACTTGATGGTATTTTTTGTTTTGCTGATGACTCGGGAGCAATAATTAGCGGAGATGACTGGGAGTAAGAATAGCCCTGACGATATAACATTAGATTTCATAAAAAACACTTTTGAAAATATTAAAAAACCTTTATTACATATTATTAATAGCTCACTGGAGGTTGGAAGGGTTCCATCATTATTAAAGGTAGCAACTATTATTCCTATACAAAAAGTGAGAAGGTCTATTAAAGTTGAAGACTTTAAACCAGTCAATATGTTAGGAACTATCGAGAAATTACTGGAAAAAATCGTCTATGGTGAACTAGTTAGTTTTATTACAGCGAATAATGTATTAATAGAAAATCAGTCAGGGTTAGTTTGGGTCCAGCACATTGTTCATAAGTGGAAAAATCTTCTGGATGAAAATTATGCGATTGGTGCTGTTTTTCTTGATTTGAAACGTGCTTTTGAAACAGTAAATAAGTCTATGTTAATAGCCAAATTGGAGAGATATGGTATAGCTGATAAAGCATTGGATTGACTTTGTAACTATTTGGATAAAAGACTGCAGGTAACCAAAATCAATGGACATACTTCGACCGAAATTTTGAATGACATAGGTGTTCCGCAGGGTAGCACTTTGGGACCACTGCTATTATTCATCCTTTATATTAATGATATAAACACCTGCAAGAATGGTTAAACTTATCTAAAACAAAATTTATTTTAATGGGTGGTAGAGCATATAAAGAATCAGCTATCTACACAAAATAATCTTCATGCTAAAATCATATTATTGAGAGAGTAGAGTCACATAAATATCTTGGATTTGTTGTTGACTCCTCACTTACATTTTAAAGATCACATCTTGTATACAATCGAAGTAGTGGAATTTGTGTTTTTTTCGGCAAAAGTATCAAATTTAAATTGTAAATAAACAATAACAACAGTGAAAACTTGGTGCAAGATTGCAATATGTTTTCCTGACGTGGTCAGTTTCAAACAATTTTATACAGAAGGGATAAATGGCTGCCTGCTACAAATGCGATAGGGCTTGTGTCTCTAAAGATGATAATTTATCACTATTTGGTTACCTCTGTGACCTATGCTGCAAAACTATATGTGCAGAACGTGCTGCGATTGCTCCATCAGAGATTCGAGTTCTAGTGTTAAAGAGTAGTTTCCGTTATTAAAAACATCTTGGATCAAAGCATAAAACTAGAAAACTCAGAAAAAGAATTCAAGAAATTTAAAGAACATAACTTGGAACAAAAGAAAAAAATGAAGGCCTTTGAAGACAACATAAAGCAAGTTCTACCATAAACGTGGACGATCTGGTAAATAAAGTAGAAGTAATAGAAAATTGAGTGAAATGTAGCAGTGTCCAACCATAAACCAGAGGCAATGTTGAAGAATACTTTATCTACCACCATTGATAAACATTTCAAAGACATGACACTACTAGATGACTGATGAAGCTGTTCTATATTGCAGCAATGTATGTTAGGTTTGGTCTGGAATAAAGGACTTCCATTCGGTGTCCTTATTATAATGTCCAAATTGACTGTAAAAATATGGCTAACATAAAATGCAAGGCAGTCTGAAATCTAAGGTTGCCAGTTTTGTAAGTCAATTTTGTCCAAGAAAACTTACAATAAATCCAAATATACATATCTTATACCCCTCTAAAAAACGCTTGAAGTTTTAGGCAAACAATATTGCCAGTGAAAAGCCCCTAAAAATGCAGAAAAGAAACAATAATTCTGAAATTCTTACCTTTGAGTTTCTTTGTTCGGCAGCTGCCTGTTTTTTCTTGCTGGTAACTATCGAAGCCTGATTTATATCATAAGGTTTGTACCGTATATCCGACCCTGCCGAATTGGCCGGACTCTTAACAGTACTAGGTCTCGAAGAGGTACTGTTGAGGTACTGAACTTCCGTCACACTGACGTGGTTGTTTGTTAATGGCGACGGAGCTAAGGAATCGCCACCAAAAACCTACAAACACTTGGTATAAATCAAAATTAACTTAAATACCAAAAAACAATTACCTGGTGTTTTTGTGGAATGCTTTTGTAGCATGTTGAACACACTTGCACCATGCCTTGTGGTGATACTGGACTTGCCCCGGGTGGCGCTTTTAATGATTGAATAAATGGAAAATATGGTTCCTGAAATTATATTTTCGAATACTAATTATGATCTCAATAATTTAAGCTTTTACCTTTTCGGCATTAGGGCAACAATACAACAATCTTATGCTAGACGAAGGGTATTCTAGTGCGCAAGTGTAGCAAATGAACGTCGTAGTGTCTAGTGCTGCGCTCTGTCGTTTCCTTAGAGTGTATTTTCTTTCAGTGTGAGGGACACCTAGAACAAACATAGAAAAATTTGAATTTAAATTAAATTAAATTAAATTTGAAAATTAGGTATGAAGATCACATCAAATCAATTTCAATTTAATGGCATTAATTGAAAGCAAATGTACTTATTGTAAGCACTGGAAAGCCCCCAAAGCTGTTACCAATAATCCCCAATAGTTGATGAAGAATTGAATATAATGAACAAACAGTAATGACCAAAATTTAGGATGAATATATTGCTGCAAGCAAGTTATTTTCTAAATCTCACCCAGAGTTTGGGAGTTAATTTAATCTATAAAATCTGATATAAATATGAGCTGTCCCAAACTTGAACGTCGCAATTAATTTCAATATTATTTTTCATTTATCCTAGTAATTAACCCACTGAATTCCCACCTTCTGTAAGCAAATTTTACCAAATAACTAATTACAATTACCTCTAAGACGTATTTTAAACATTAATCACTATTTTCAACCAACAAATTGACACAAGAAAATAAATCACTCTGTTGTTATTATTATAACTTCAGCGCACAACTGACAAGAATTATTTACCCAAACATTACGCAAATTTTTGATAAGAGTGCAAATCCGTGACCGGATTTATCTGGTTATGTCGAAATGTTGTAGTCGCGGAGGTCTGGGTTAGATTCTTTCACAAAAAAAATTGATCTCCAGAACACGTAACTGATTTTATTTTTCAATGCGTCATAAAACGTACCTACACGTAGACAAGATTTTATTTTCTTAATGAGAAAAATGTCTTTCTTTTTAAACGCTTTTTGTTATACTTTTTACATTAGTGCGCAAAAGTACATTTTTCCAAACTTTACAGATCTAGCTAGATGCATTTCAAGTGCCCACTTAGTTAAGATTTGAGTATGATTTAGAAGATATGAGTTTTTCGAACTTTTTGAAAATTTAACTAAGAATGTACTATTTTTGTTTTAATAATTTTTTTTTATGATATGATCTATTATCAATAATTCTCACATATTTATATGTCTGATAGACTGATAATAAAATCATTGTTTATGTTTACCTAAACCATTCTCCATGTCTCGATGAAGATAATATAATCTGGAAATTTCCGGTGTGCCGGCGATGCTACACAGTGCACTGATTACGCAAAGTTATTACTTTAGGAAGTGCTTTTTTTCAATAGAAAATGATGACATTTATGTTTCCCACAAACAAATTACTTGTCGTTATTCAATTAAGTTGTTTACAGTGATTAGAATTTATTTATGTGAAGGATAATGATGAGTTTTATTTATGTATTTGAAATATTTGCCTTAAAAAAGGATTTATTATTTTATTATTTATTAAATTCACGGGATCACCCCATTACAGCATAATAATAACAATAAATATAATATAATCATTAATATTTCCTTAAATTACAAACAAATCTACAGTTTACTATATATGATAGTTTTAAATTGACTTAAACTTAAATTTAAAGGATCTACATCACAGTGTTTATTTAAAAACCTAAGGGCCCTATTGAAAGGATTATTACAGCCATAATTAGTAGAATGAAATTTTATGTGAAAAAATTCATAAAATCTCAATGTATGCTGTGGAATATTGAAACTGACTCTGCTTATAAGTTCAGGACAATCAATAATGTTATTCAATAGTTTAAAAATAAATAAGGAGTCAAATTGAATTCGTCTATTATAAAGTGTTGTTAATTTTTTTATCAATGTCTGCAGCTGGGATTCCCATTCTATAACCAGAATATTTAAAAAACTTATTCTGCACCCTTTCAATTGAATCAATGTATGTCTCATACATAGGAGACCAGATCAGTGTTCCATATTCAAGTTGGGAGCGGACAAGAGAACAATACACAACTTTTACCACATCAATTGGGAAATCACTACAATTTCTCAATGTAAAACCAAGAAGTTTGAGCCCTTTAAGAATTATATGTGAAATGTGATCATTAAAGCTAACACTTTCATTAAAAGTGACACCAAGGTCTCTAACTTGATTCTTGTAATTTAAGTTCACATTATTCATGATGTAGTTTGAATGATATTTCTTATTACCTGTAAAAAAGCTAATATAAAAACATTTATCTATGTTTAATGAAAGGTTATTGGTCTGACTCCAATTCCAGAGTGTATTAATATCTTTTTGTAATATTTCTATGTCGGCGAGACTCCCTATACATCTATATAATTTAAGGTCATCTGCAAAGAGTAAGACTAATGATTCCAGGTTATCACAAATATCATTTATAAAAAGATTAAAGAGCAAAGGTGAACAATTAGAGGTGGGTTGTGATTTCACGAACTGTGACTTTGTCACTGCTACTTGTCTGTCACAGTCACAGCCTGCTCCAGTCTCAGTCAAGTAGCAGTGACATTTTGTCACTACCCGCTTCAAGCTCCGACCGATGCAGCGCGGACAAAACTCGAGCTAAGTGATGTTAATGAAATAATAATTATAAATCGCATCGCGGTCACGCTAAATAGAAACTGTTACTGTAGAGGGCAGGCTAGAAACTGGAACATCTCTCCCGGCCGTGACTGCGGACTGCGATTATGCCATATTGCGATGTAGCATTAACATAATATTAGCAGTACGGCCGCCAACTAAGGTAAAACTGCTCCAAAAAATCACTGCTATTTGTCACAGTGACACGACTGGAGCAGTCACGTCTTGTCACTGCTCCATGGCCCCCTTGAGGTACACCTGATAAAACCTCAATTGTTTTTGACAGAAAATTAAACAGTTTTACTCTTTGTTTCCGATCCTTAAGAAAACTTGATATCCAATCCATGGCTTGCTTGGTAAATCCTACATTGCCCAACTTCACAATCAGAAGGTCAAAATTGACTCTGTCAAAGGCCTTGGAGAAGTCAGTGTAGACTGAGTCCACTTGTTCTTTCCTCTCCAATGCCTCTAACAGGTACATTTAATAGACTACCAAATTAGTTATTGTGGACTTCCCAGCCGCAAACCCATGTTGTTCTGTAGATAATAACCCTTTGCATTGCCAGTTTAGTTGATTATAGACCAACTTATCAAATAATTTTGGTATAGCTGACTGTATAGAAATACCACGATAATTTTTTACATTTTCTTTGTCACCTGATTTGTGAATAGGTGTTACATAACTTTCTTTCCATCTGGTTGGAAAAGTGCTTGTTAGCAGAGACAAATTGAACAAATTATGTAAGGGTTTCGAAATTGTAAAAGAACAAAATTTCAAAAAGTAGTTTGGTATATTATCTCGCCCTGTAGAAAACGAGTTTTTAAGCTGACAAATACATTCATAAATTTCAGAGATTCTTATATTATGGAGGCAGATATTTCCTTTGGGACAATTTTTCCTTTCAGTTGGTGTGCACATTGTTGGATCGTACACACTAGCAAAGTGATCAGCAAACAGATCTGCTATTTTTTGGGCACCATCTGCAGTTTGATTGTCAAGATACATATGATTAGGGACACTGTTAGGTTTTTTTTTGTCATTGATGTATTTCCAGAAATGAGACGAATTATCTTTTAAGTTAGTACCAACCGTTTGTATATATCTAGAGTGACACTTTTGAGTTTCTGTTTTACATTTAGCTCTCAAATTGGAAAATACAAAGTAGTCAGCTTCAGATTTTGTTTGTAAGTATATTTTGTGACTGTTTTTTTTTTTGAGATAATCAAATTTTTCAAATGAGGAGAGAACCACTTAGGAAAGTTAGAGTTTTTTACGAGCTTTCTTGGAATAAAAAAACTAAAGACAGTATCCAGAGTTTCATGAAATTTTTGTACAGCAGAATCAATATCTAAACCAGAAAACAACTCGTCCCAATTAACACTGGCCAGGTAATCATTTATTGCTAAATATTTACCTACCATTTCTAAAGTCAAAGTAATATTCTTCATATTTTAAATTGGATTTAGTACTATGTAAAAGATCAAATATATAAGCTAAGTGATTACTATGCAGAGGCATTAGAGGATCTATGGCTGGCTCTACTTTGACTTCAGACATATTCGCAAATATCAAATCTAGGTATGTACCATTATCATTTGGGTGCATTACTTTTTGATGAAAGTTAAAAAACGAAAAGTACTCACAAACAACTCTGCCATGAGAGTTTTCTGGGCATTCCACACAAACACCCAAATCATCATTATACCATATAGCCTCAGGCAAATTGAAGTCTCCCAGTATAATGAATGTGCTATCAGGATATCTCTGATAAACACTATTCACCGATTCGCAATGGTCTATGTAACGCTCAAGTGGGGTTCTAGGTGGTAGGTAAACTGATCCTATAATATAATGTTGACTATTCAATATAATTTCTACAAATAACTGTTCAACGTTGCTAGCTGGTAGAGGAATAATTTTTGATCTGAGCCTGTCAGATACTGCAATAAATACACCTCCACCCCACTTTTTGTTGCTTGACTTCGATCACACCGATGAATATTATAACCACGAAATTTAATTTCATGCTCCGAAAAGTCTTCACTCAACCATGATTCTATGATAATGATAATATCGTAAGAACAGTTCAGAACTGAAAGCTCTAGCTGTCTAAATTTAGTCCGTAATCCTCCCATATTATGAAAGTATGCTGTTAAATGTTATGTGCTCTCAACTTTAGTAGGATTTCTGTAGGTACTGTTCCGAGGTCGGTTAGAGGATTTTTTAATTATTTTGTGTATCCCATTTACTTGACGAATAACAAGATCTTCCTCACCATTATCTCTTTTAGTTTTCAATTGACCTTGAATTTCCTTCAGTGTTGTTTGTTGAAACAATGTTAAGTCTACGTTAATCCTAATTTTATCTTCCTTCAAAGCGTTTTGCTGTTTTAAGCACTCACCTACAAATTTTTTATCTGAAAAAATTACTTTCAACAATTTTGGGTTACTCTTTCCCACTCTAATTGATTTAAAATATGTTGAATTGATTGACATTTTCTGCAAACAAGTGGATATCACAAGATTGTCATGGTTTATCCGTTCTTTGACATCTTTTGA